AAGGGCTATCGAACTCCCTCACCATTCCGTTTTCCTTGAAATGAGCTGCTTTGCAAGCTGCTTTGTCCCTGTGCTCAGCGAACACACAGACCAAAGGGAGAACAAGGTCTGAGCAGTTCCTAGTATTAGTATAATTATCTCTTGCAGGCAGAGTTGAAAGTCTAAGCAAACACATTTCCATTCTTTTATAGTGACACATCAAGCTGGCACGTTCTTTGCCCCTGAGTTTATAAACCAACTTTCTTAGATACTAGATGCTGAAAAAAACAGGCATATAAAAAGCTCTCTACGGAGCTGCCAGGAGAAGATGCAGTGCATTGAGTTTGATCTTTATAAATAAAGGTGAAGGACACAGTGCCAGCTTGTCTTTAAATGTAGGAGAAGCCAGAGACTGCCAGTGACCTTGGACAAGAACATGCTTTTCCATAGTGGGGGCAAAATCAATGTGTAATGCACCAAAAATATGCAAAACAGATTTTTTTTTTGACAGTTACCAAGATGCCCTTTTGGGGTACTGCAAATAGGCCCTTGATTCTCAGATGTCTCCACATATTGGAAATGTTTGCTTTCTGTGAAGAACAGCTAAAACAGGTGAAGTGTGGCCAGTTTGAGTGGAGAAAGTTTGTGCAGAATGTTTTTAACATAGCAACTCCTGAGCGTTAAGCCACTTCTCCCAGCAGCTTCTCTTCTGCCTGAAATACTCAGGACCCTGGAGTCAAGTGCTTAAACTCCAGAGCTTTCAAAACTCTGTTCTTGTTGGGTTTTGTTTGTTTGTTTTTGTTTTTTGTTGTTGTTTGTTTGTTTTTCAAATTTACTTTCTACAGAAGAAGAAAATCTCAGACTTTACCCCAGGTCACAGAGTACCTCTTCGGACATGCCAGTTTGTCCCTCTGCTCTCTGATTTCCAGAGATGTGAACACCACTCTGAGCCTCTTTTGCTGTGCTTCCCTGCTACATGCCTGGCTTGTTAGGGTGGTGCCTGCGAGTCGTTCATTTTTAGCAGAATAGGAACATGGGCTTCCAGTGCTCCTGGAGACATAAAGTGTCTTTGAGACAGTAAGACCCAGACACGTTGCATGGTAGAAAATGGTCCTGGAGGCACGGAGGAGAACGGGACCACTTGCCAGCTGCTGGAGGAGAGACAACCTGTGGCAGCTGCTGCTGTAGGTCCATTTCTCTAGAGATATCGTTGCTGTCTTACCAGAATAAGCAGCAACCTCAACAGTGTGCTTTTATATAGCTTTAGTTAATATTATAATGATATAATATTATGAGTTATGATATTATAATGTTATAATACTAAAATAATTACCATTAATACAGCTTTCCCCGCTGCCCCTGGTCTTTATCCTGGACATTTCAAGCAGCGCACTCTGGTTGGACTTTCAGGTGATTCCGCAGTTCAAAGTGCACCTGCAATGTTCAGAGTTCCTGTTTTGAATCTATCATCTTGATTATTTTCTTTTCTTTTTTTTTTTTCCTGTATGCCTGTGACCCTGCTCCCAGCTCAGCCTGGCAGCAGGAAGCGGACGAGTGTAGGGCTCTTTCTGACAGCAGGTTCCCGAGCTGCTCTGTATCTCCTACTTGCAGGTACTCAGATTAACTTTTGCAATCTGATTGCCCTGTGGCTGTTTGCTAAGGGTTACAGAGCGGATGTATCCCTGGGGCTATGAGGTTGGAGTGGGAGCTTTCCTAGAGAGGAGGTGGAAAAAAAGGAAAAGAGGATTTTGCAAGTAGGAAGCCCTCATTAAGGCTCCTTAGATAAGTGTTTCCTTGTATTTTGGATAAAACAAGCACCTACAGAAGAGCTGCAGGGATCTGTAGAGGGACAGAGGCCAGGGTTGAATGGAGCTGAAGTTGTTGAACACAGAGCATCTTGTGTGAGGAGGAAGAAGGGTTCTTTTTCACTGCCAGGTCTTTGCCTCTGTTAACAGCTTCTCTTCCTGATTGGAACTGAAAGGCAAATGGCAAGGACAAAATGGGGTTGCTTTTGTGGGCTGTTTTTTTTTTTTTTTTTTTTTAATGTGTTTTCCATGTACTGGCACCAATCCTGTGGCAAAGCCAGAATTCTGCTCCCTGCCTGTAAGATCCAGGTGCAGCCTTTTTCCAAGGAGATGCCAAACTCTTACTTCAGTCCTAATACTTTCTTCTGGCTCCTTCATTTGAAGGTGAAGGAGGATGAGAGGGGACCAAAGAGGGTTGGAGGGATGGGTCAGACACATTGTCAGTTCTTAGTGCACACAGATTTTCATTCACTGCACGCTCAGTGTCTCAGTGACATCAGTCCTCAGTTCAGCTACACAGGTGGTGCTCCAGGACCAGCCCCAGCCCTTGGGCCCTGGCCTGTTCAGGTCCCATCAGAGCTGAGTTGGGCTCTGAGGTCCTTCCAGGAAGGAGAATATATTGATTCTGTACTTGTGCCACCTGCAGGTCAGAAGAAAATCATTTTGATCTCTCTTCACAGTTCAGTTCACAGTTCCCTGGACTGGCTCCGTGAGGGCTTGGTTGCTCCTAAACGTCACCTTCTGTAGTTTCACAGATAATGTCCTGGAAGAAGGAGCGCATGAGTCCACCTCCTTGTTTCATCCAGCGACTGGACCACCTTGTGTTGACTGTGAAGAGCATTGAGGACACTGTGGACTTTTATTCCAAAGTCCTTGGCATGGAGGTGGTCACTTTCAAGGTAACATAGGTACATTTGAGGGTTAGGTTTAGGAGACCTGAAAGCACAGTCCTGGGCTGGTGGCCATCCACAGTGGCTGGCTCTCTTGGGGCATCTCCTTGAGGTGGGGATGGCATGATATCACAGACTGTAGGCTGGCAAGATCCGAATTTCAGGTGAATCAGGCTGAGTCAAGGAAAGTTTCAAACTGTACTGTGGAAGGAATCAAAGTGAGACAGAAGGAGAGTTGTCAGGAACTGAAGGACCTCTGAGGGCCTGCAAAGAAAAGAGGTGCCTAAACCTTTTTCTACTCTGTCTTCCCACTGCCTCAGCTCTGCTCTCTCTCGAGTGACAATCGTTGTACTATTCCTGTGGCTGCTCACAATCTGGAGGGTGTCCAGAACTGAACACTGGCAATGCTGTAGGCTGGAAGAGTAGCTGTGAGCAGTATACGTCTCATGCTACCTTTCCTGAGTCTCTTCACATCTCCAGAGATGTAATGTAAGTAAGTGTTGTAGGGGTCAATTCTTACCATGGGTTGCCAAAGCAAGAGTACAGAGAATACAGCAAAGATACAGTCAAGTCTTCAGGTATTAGGACTACATAGGTGAAAGGATCCTGACAACTTCAAGGGGAGGAATTCTTATAGGACATTAATTCTTTTCTTTGCGGACAGGGAAACCGCAAAGCCTTGCATTTTGGCTGCCAGAAGTTTAACCTCCATGAGGCTGGAAAGGAATTTGAACCCAGGGCTCGATACCCGGTCCCTGGTTCTGCAGATGTTTGCCTTATCACGCAGAACCCCATTGAGCAGCTGCTCGAACACCTGAAGGTGAGCAAGGCGTATAGCATACCGATAATGGTGTGATCTGGGGCTGTAGGAAGAGAGCTGAGGGGCCATTGTGGAAACAGAGCTAATGAACGTGCCTTCAGCTTCATCTTCAGTTGTAATTGCACTTGTAGGAGTTCAAATCAAGCTTAACTGAAATGCCTGCAATTGAACTGTATAGGAGAGAGGACACTGAGCTAGATTTGAAAAGTACATAGAAAGGAAGCTCTTAGCTTTTATTTTGCAAAATCTGTAAAAATATGCACTAGTTCTGACATATTTATGAACCAATATGTGCTGGGCTGAAGGCGGATGTAAAAGAGCAAGGCCTCCCTACAAGGATTAGCGGGATGGCAGAGGTGCATTGTGCCTCCACTAAGCCCTGTGGAAACAGAGCTAATAAACATGCCTTCAGCTTCACCCTCAGTTGTAATTGCACTTGTAGGGGTTCAAATCAAGCTTCACTGAAAGGCCTGCAATTGAACTGTATAAGAGAGAGGACACTGAGCTAGATTTGAAAAGTACATAGAAAGGAATCTCTTAGCTTTTATTTTGCAAAATCTGTAAAAATATGCACTAGTTCTGACATATTTATGAACCAATATGTGCTGGGCTGAAGGCGGATGTAAAAGAGCAAGGCCTCCCTACAAGGATTAGCGGGATGGCAGAGGTGCATTGTGCCTCCACTAAGCCCCAAGGCCGAGTATACAGCCCTGTGAGGTGCTGTGAGGTGTCAGCTGAGATGTTTCAGGGAGGACAAGATGCAACAGTCTAGGAGAACTCTACCAAGCCCCACAGATCTTTTATTACAGGTATAGCAATGCTCAGTACCTGTGGAAATCTGTGTTTAACACATATGTTGATGTCTAACTGTGTCAGGACAGGCCACCGGTGCTAGCCCACCATATTACATATTTCAGCCTCATCTTTCTCTGAAAAGATCTTGCAGTCCATACTAGCCTGACAATGTATTTCTGAGCTGGACAGTTCTTCAGTGTGTGTATGACCTTGAGTTAGAGGAGTGACAGCAACACTGCTTGGTTGGCCTTGCCATTGAAGACCTTGAGGGTGAAACAAGAGCCCCTCAAGTGACATTTTCATGGCCTGTGCCTTGGGGATTTCAGAATTTTTTTCATCCAAAAGCTCTTGTTTTTACTGCTGAAGGAAATGTGCACAACACTCCCATAAGATTCAAGCATTAAAGCTGCCTTTTTTTTCTCCTCACAGGCCTGTGGGGTGAAGGTTGAGGAAGGTCCTGTGGCCAGAACTGGTGCTATGGGTCCGATTACATCCGTCTACTTCCGAGACCCTGATGAGAACCTGATCGAGGTTTCTAGGTACAACTCGGATGCAACAGGCACGACTGTAGTTAGCAGAGGGGAACAATAACCACTACCCTGCCTGAGTCCCAGAAAGAGACAGGAAACAGAGGCCAGGATTTTAATGGCTTTTTACAATCTGTTTTACAATCTGTTTTGCAACCTAAAACATGACTCAGCTTGCAGACCCACAGAGCAATGAAAAGTAGGTCTACACGAACTTTGAGATCTATCCCTCAGTCCAATTTCCAAATCTCCAGTGATGGGGACTTCTGCCTGGAAGATCTGCCCTGCTGCTGCACTACTCTTGCTGGGACAACATTGCTTCTAATGTCTCAAGCCTCTCTTGCTGCATGTGAAATGTGATTTCTGCCCTCTTCACCATGTGCACAAGGAACTTGACATTCCTTTCCTTTCAATAGCCACTTTGTTTTCTACATACCTAAAGATTTCTGTATCTACCTTCCTCTCAGCCTGCTTAGTATGATCCAGATGAACTGGCACTAGTGACTCTAACGTTAGGTCACTGGTTTAAATCTTCCACCTGTGACTATTGAAACTCACCTCCTTCTGGGGAAGGGGGAAACTGGACCTCAGCATTTTACACAGGGCAGTATATTGCAGTAGAAGAGCGCACTGTAGCTCTGATTGATCACATACAAGTACTCTGGGGATCATCACCTCCGGAGCTTCCTTCTTTCTTTGTTACCTCGATTATTTAAAAATTAGTGAAGAGGAACTTTTATTTTTTTCCAAGACGAGCAATTCCTCAGCTGGCCACAGTGGGGTAGCAATGTTAACATCAAAGAAATAGTGCTAGAAGGTAGATAGAACTCTTCTGACCTCTACAGCTAAAATAATCTTTAAAAATTAAAGAATTAGCAAACGGTACTTTTCTTTTCTTTTTTTCTTCCTTGATAATATTTCCTGGGAAATCCAAAATTATTCACAGTGATAAATAAGTAAATAAATACAAACAAAAAGCAAAAGAAAAAATAATCCCTAATAAATTCAGTGCTTTAGCTTATGAAAAGCTTGTGTCAGTGGTGGTAGTAGGGGTGGAAGCAGTTTTCAATTTCAGTTGAACCATTCATGAGCACTAATGAACAAAGCCCATGGGAGACAAGCCAGAGGCAGCTCAGGATCTCCACCTTGCAAATGTGGTGTGAGCTCATTAAAATCTTGAAGGACCTCACACACCTGTGCATTGCACCATGAGGACTGGTGTACACTGCAGGGAGTGATGTTGCAGCGTTTAGCAATGCTGTAGCAAAGCTTTTTCCCGTGCAGGGGAAGACAAGTGTCATGGTCTCTCTCCTATCTCAGCTGTGAACAAGTCGAATTCACTTGCTCTCTCCTGGCTCCTAAACTGGCTGTCTGGAGAAGCTGTGCAGGGGTGTGTTTTGGGATCTTGATGGATTCCTACTCCAGTGCCTTCAGTACATGCAGTTCACAGAGCCCTTCTCCCTCCTTCTAAAGCTTTCACACAAAGCAATTTGCTCTCATTCAGTGCTCAGATCAACCTTGACATTTCTCTCACATTCAGAAGAAGATCAGAGCACCATGCATTGATACTGTGAACATCAGACCTTCTTTGTCAGGTATTCCAGCAAGGTTAGAAATGTCTTGGATCTCTTTGCCTAGCCCTGTATATCAGACCTGGATATGCATGTGGAGAGATCTTGTGTGTAGGCCCTAGCTTGACTTTTCCAAAGTCATAAGAAGGATGGAGTCTTGAACAAGGTTAACTCTAGTGTTTGGCCTTCTTACTTTGTGTGCCTAAGGGTGAAAGTTGAAAGCTGGTCCTGCAAGTATGAGTCCCAACACTAAAAGAAACTAACGGACCATTTCATGAAAAATGAAAATGAAAAGAAAGTCTCACAGGACGCCAGTGACACCAGAGGGGACCATGGACAGGCAAGTCATATCCAGGCAATGGTGACTACTAGGTTTCTTATTTGGACCCTTTTCTGGTTAATAGAGATAGATAACATTTGTGGTGGTTCTTCCATACGTTCTGATCAGCTCTGATTTCCACTTCCTCTAGTGTCACACATACCATATACCTTTTCCCGCCTCATACTTGCCCCGAGAGCTGAGCCATGGAGACCTTCCCTTGGGGAAGCAGGTTCCCTGTACACTCTCCAGGAGACAAACAGAGGATCTCAGTGTATTATCACCTTACCTGCAAAGTAACACATTTCGCATATTTCCAGACAGCAGCATGAGCATCAGATAGAACCACGGAAGTCACGAAGTCCACTCAAGTCATGAATTAATTTTCCTAAATGTATTCCTTAGTTAGTTAAAGGGAATTTTTTAATTAAAAAAAAATAAGGGAATAATTTTTGGGGGGAAATTGTTTTGAGTTAAATAGGCATGAATTTTACCCATCAGGGTTATCAACATGTGGGTGCTCCAAGACTATGTGAGTAGCACGGAGACAACCAGCCATTCAGTCCCCTGACACCACTGCTCCATCCAGAGGGTGAATGAACTTCAGTAACAACCTGGGAAGAAGCAGCTGAAGAAATCAGAGAGCTGAGCAGAGTGACACAGCAAGACGGGCCAGAGGCAAGCTGAGATTGCACATGGAGTTTGTAGTCCCACAGAGCCAGGGGACTTGGAGAGGGCACTTTGGGGAGGGGAGCCCATGGGGAGAGAAACCTGCGCGGAGAGGAGTCCATGGGCCCGAGTCCCAGCCCCGTGGCTGTTCTCAAGGGTGCTGAAGGCACCGTGTGCGTGGGGACGGGAGGTTGCTGCCCATGGGACAAGGCTGATCACAACACCCCACTCCTGCCAAGCTAGGCCAGGCTCCCCGACCTCTGTCTCCTCCCAAAGCGGTCCTGTGGCCAGGGCTTCTCCCTATCCGGGAGCATTCCAGGAGAGCCCTGCTCATTTCTGGGCTGAGATCGCAGTTACTGATTGATTACTAGCACGCACGCTGGCTAGTTCTGCACCAAATGTTCTTTCATTCACTGAACTTGTTACCATAAACATTTTCCTGAAGAAAGATTTCCTTTTCTTAACTTTATTTTGCACGTCATTTATCTTGGAACGGTAGCAAAGGAAAGGACAAGGTCTCTGTTCTTATTCAGCCTGAGAGAAGTTAAGGACTTTGGTAGCACCACATTGACAACTGAATTGATCTCAGTGTCACACAAGGTGGCCTGTGGTTTTCACAGGCCATTTTTTTCCCTTCACTCTCAGGAAGGCCTCGCTTCACTCACCAAATGTTTGGATCTCCTGTTTTGCTAGGGAGGTTAAATATTCACTGTTGGAAGCTAGAAATAACACACAAGATCTTTTCCTGGGCTGGGAGACCGAAGGGAGTGTCAGGGGCCCATATTTTTAGAGAAAATATCATGAATGAAACCCTCACATCTGGAGGGTATCACATCACCTCCCAGCCTTCCTGCATCTTCCCTCACTTAATCGTTATCTGAGATCTAGTGATTAGTGGGAAAACACTGAATAACTTGTCGTTCTTTGTTGAGAGATGTTTAACCACAGCTAGGCTTTACTGGATAAGAGATAAATGTTCTCACTAGTAAAAATATCCCCCAGGGCTCAGTGTAAATACGTGATTCTGGAGAAATCCTTGGCCACAGCTTCCAAATATACCAAGACTTCCAGCTGACCTTGTCCTTACCTCTGTTGGGCTTCCAGGCTATCATCTACTGCAAAAGCTGCTGCACTCTATATATGTGGATTAAAGACGCCAACTTCATGGTCTGTATAGTGTAGTGTTAGAACTTTATGCCAAAAAAAAAGAATTTATTTCATTTGTTTATTGAGAAGGTTTCAGTGTGATTATGTTAGACATTATGACAGAGTGGATTAACAGATGAGCAATTTTTGCTGTCTGGGAAGTGCTTTGCACAGACCGCTACCAGCAAGCAGAAAAGGAACTAGCCCACATTTCTTCTTGCCTGTCTAGTTTCATCTTGATCTCCCCAGCCGTGTTGGAGACAGGGCCTTTGATCTTCTATCAATCACAACTATTTGTTTAAAATGAAAAGGAACATCACACAGTTCTCCATTCTGCTGCTCAGCAAGCACTCATGAAAGCAAACCTTTTGCTAAATCAATGGTATTATTTCATCTCAGCTGGGTAGATCAGTTAATGGATACATTTATTAAGGTTTCCCTCCTGGGAGGGGAATGTCCCAATGGAAGTCACAGCATGTAGGTGCCCAAATCGCCATTCAGAGGGCTCAACTCTGCACTGACAATAAAGGCTACCTCTGGCCATTTGGCTCTTAATAGGTGCCAGGGTTACCTGCCCAAAGCCAAGAGAATGATATGTTACAGCCCTAGGCTTGGCACGGATGATCTTGCAGGTGGGGTAGGATGTAGGTGTATAACTAATGCTGGATCCCTCATCTACAACAACCTTTCATTCAGAAAAGACATACAGGTTTCAAGGGTCCTTCAAGCAACCGTTCTACACAGAGAGGTGACAAACACTTCCCAAATTCTGGGAGAAATATGAATCTTTTACATGAAAGAAGAAAAAAAAATCCCTCTATGTTTGAGAGTTTTGCTGACAGGGTTGTTTATAGTAACTCACAGATATTTTTATTTGCTTAGAACTGAACATGATCTAAACAGAGCCCAGAAAATCATTAAGGGAAGCACATAACTTAGTGGCTGAACTTCTTCTTCTTTCCAGATGTTGAGTTTAAGCATCCTCTCTTTAGGACTTGTCTAGGCTTTCTCTCTGTACATTCTCTATTTTGAGTTAGACCATTCTGTACATTTGAATGCAATTAAAAATAATATCTAGACTCTCCTTTGTGTGGGGCTGACTGGCTTCCATATGACACCCCAGAATTCTCATAGATGTCCATGGGATTTTTTGATATTTTTGATGGCCTTTCAACTCCTCAGGCAGCACCATTTGTGAGCTGAAACTTAATCTGTGAAGTAAATACCCACACAGACACACCTCCTGTTTCATGGGCTCCTTAGGTAGTAAAGCATCTATTTTGATTTCAAGGGACAGAAACTTCTCTGTCATTGGAAATGAATAGTAAAGCACCAATGAAGAAAGGAAATAGACTTTCACCTGGGTAGGTCCCTTTCCCAAACCCCACTTTCCCTGCTCTCACAAGGTACAGGCCAGCTGGGAACTATCTGACAGATTCTCCAGGTTGTCTACTGTAGCGATGATGGCTTCTATTTTTTCATCTGAGAGCACATAAGAGGCATTGGATCGAAATTTCTTCAGGAGTGATTCTCTGCTCAGAGGATTCCTCCAGTGACCATAGAAAGTGTCACATTTGCCTGTCAGGACATCCCCGCTATGCAGAAGCAGTGCTACCTCTCCATACATCTTGTCGAAATTGGCCACGTTATCTTCAGGATGCTCTACCACCACTTTGTCCAGCAGCTCCCTCAATTCCTGCCGGTGGATGCTGTTTTCTGTGAAGGAGCTAAGGCTCACTTCACCGTCCAGCAAGGCAACACAGGCATTGAACTGGAACGAGTGTCTGGCCTCGTGTTCAGAGCTTGGGGAAGGCCTATTAATGTACTTTGATACTGGGACCTTCAGCACAATGGTGCGGATCAAAGAGGAAGAGAAACAGCCTGCATAGTTGATGAATAGGTTCCGGACAGACAGGGCAGCATCAACCACCCAGTGCATCCCCAGGTGGGCTGGGAATCGCTTGAAAGCAATATCCTGCTTCTCCAGGAGGAATTCATGGTGGTCACTTGGTACAGCAAGTGGTTTGGGTTCATAGACGCTGTAGAACGCACTAAATCCAGAGCATCCAGGGATACTATCCAGAATGAAAGGGCTGGCCTCCATCCCTCGGGCAGCCAGCAGTGCCGCTTCGAAGCCCAGGCGAGTTGCGTTTCCCATATGCAGTGGCTTGGCTTGGGTGGCAGCATTTGCCATCGGGGCCCCTGCAAATGAAGCAGCTATGCCCAAGGCGTGTGTGCACTGGGCTGTGCTGAGAGAGAGCAGTTTTGCGGTGGCAGCTGCACTGCCCATGGTACCAACTACAGAAGGAGGATGGAACCTAAAGAGGAAATGGCCAGTATGAGCACCCCAATCTGGCTGGCAGAACATGGTACAAGGACTACCACAGCACCTCACCTAACAAACTTGCCCATTGGACAGGAAAGGAACTGCCACATCATTGAAAATCCACCATGGGTCCATTGCAGATAGGATTCATCTGACTCAGGATTTAACCACCGAATAACTAAGCACCTACTTGAAACTTCTGAGACAACAGAGTGAGAACAGTATCTCCAGAAAGAAGTTATTATTTCTTCCTGAGAGCAGATAGCATGGCACAATTTGTGTCCATACAGCTAAACTTTCCCTCTCCCATGCAAAAAAAAATGATGGGCCTCATCTAAGAATAACAGTTTGTGGTCTGTGTTGTCTCTTAGATTGTGCCAGAGCTCTGCCTGGTGAGTGCAGTTGGCACAGACTGAAGTTGAGACAGGAAATCCCCAAAGTCAATCTGTGCACAAGCTTCTGTCTGATTTTGCCCTTGCTCTCATTTGCTCAGTTCAACACACTACAGGCTCATCAGCTAATGGTAGAACTGACTCTTGGCTTTCAGTAGGGCTTTCTTCAAGGTTCTGCACTCAACTTGGCTCAGAATGTCATTTTAACATCTTGAGGAGGCCTGTTGACAGATTTATTGACCCTTCCCTTTCTCACTCTTCCTAGTATGATGAGCTTTCAGTTTCTAATTCTGTGTAGTGTGAGACCTAGTTGGTTGTTGAAAGGGCTTGGAACAGTGGCCATGAGCCTGAAGAGCTATGTGAGTTACCAAGAGGGATATATTGCATTCTTATGCTTGTTTTTCTTCTGGAAATTGCTGCATCATGTTCTAGCTCTGCTCACTAAGCTCGTGTGCTGAAGAAAGGGAGATTTACCTTTTAGGAATGTTGTGAGCCTCACTGGAGAAGTGCATGAGCCTTCCTTGAACTTCTAGACCCACATTAAAAGCCAGCAAGAAATCCAGGCCATTGGGTTTCGTGCTTGGAGGTAGCATCTGGGAAGCTGCCAGGAGGGCAGGCAGAACAGCTCCTGAAGGGTGAGTAGCAGGGTGCCAGGTGTCATCAAAATCCATGGAGTGAGTCTGCCAGGGAAATGCAGAAAAGGACATGCTAGTACAAGGTCAGGAACAAAATCTACCGATCATTCAGTGGCACCCATGTTACTGCTCTAAAACCACTATGCATGGCACTGCAGGGTAGTGCATGGACTTTGGGGTCCAGCATCCTCCCAGGACCTTCACTACTGCCAGCAACATCAAGCAGTGTTTTGAAAGGACCACAGAGCTCCTTTTAAAACACCCTGTCTTACCGCAACTCCGTTGGTAAATGCTGCAAGTGTTGGGGAGAGCTTTATGCCTGGTTTTCCATAGACAGAGCTCACAGCTGCTGAGGAATACAGTTCCTATGGAAGAGAGGGAAATCCAGGGAAGGACCTTGAGAGGAGCATTGTGCAAAGCCAAAAAGCCCCCTTCTTCAGGGCACAAGTTCTCCTTCAGCCACCAAGCAGGGCTCTACTTACCATAGAATCATAGAATGCTTAAGGTTGGAAGGGACCTCTAGAGGTCATCTAGGCCAACCCCCCTGCACACGCAGGGTAACCTAGAGCACGTGGCACAGGACAGCGTCCAAGCGGGTTTTGAAGATCTCCAGAGAAGGAGACTCCACAACCTCTCTGGGCAGCCTGTTCCAGTGCTCTGTCACCCTCACTGTCAAGAAAATTTTCCTTAAGTTCCTGTGGAACTTTTGGTGTTTCAGTTTGTGGCCGTTACTTGTGGTGACAGTGTCAGAATGGGAACCACATAAATCTGTGGCAATATGAGGGCTGCACCTACCCGGCAATACTGCAGAGCAATATTGAACACATGCGTCCTGCTGCCCACAAGGCCAACCCCAATGCTGTCAAGGATCATCCTCTTGCTTCTGTGACAGACAGCCTTGGACAAGTGTTTAGGTTGAACTCCATGGATGAAGGAGGCAAAACTGCTGGTCACGGTCTCCTCTGGTGCACTGCTGGCCACCACTGCACACCAAGGAAGAGGGGGAGAGGTAAGACTTATGTGGCCCATGTGCTAACAGCTCACAAGTCTTCATCTTTGGTACCAGAGAACAGGACTTGGCCAGCACATCCCTTGGGTCAGAAGGCTGGGAATAGCCCTAAGGATTTGGGAGATATGGGAGCTTCCTTGTGCTTTGTGGGCTGTGAGCCTCTCCTTGGACATTTCAAGTTCAGTTCAGCATATCAGAAGATCTAGCCTGTGCTTCAGAAACAGATTAAAGTAGATCTCCTGTACTCAGAGTTTGAAGAAAAATGATTTCCTGCTACAGAACCCACCTTTGCTGTTAGAAAAGAAGTAACATCCATCTTCCCAAGGTAAAGTCAATGTCTCTATTCATGTCATGTCATATAGAGCTGGACAGGGAGCAGAAAATACTTTCTGTGTATGGGAGTTACCACTTCCAAAATGTTGGAGGTAGTATAATTCTGTGGAAAATATCTAACTGACTGCTGAACTGTTTATTTCAATGACAAATTGCTTTGTTTTGGTGAATGACAAACAGCATTTTGAAAAGACACATAATAAGACTATGGAAACTATAAGATTCAAAGTAGTTAATATGTGCATGACTGCTAATCTTTCAACATATACATACACACACACACACACACAAATAAGACCCAGCATGTATATCCAAATGAAACTAATCCCAGGCGGAAGTTAATATGAATCAAGGAAGAAAGCACAAATATTTTATTTCCATATCCTATGGGAAACCTTACTTTTCATAGAATCACAGAATGGTTAAGGTTGGAAGGGACTTCTAGAGATCACCTAGTCCAACCCCCCTGCTCAAGTAGGGACACCCAGAGCACGTGGCACAGAGTCACATCCAGGTGGATTTCGAAGATCTCCAGAGAAGGAGACTCCACAACCTCTCTGGGCAACCTGTTCCAGGGCTCTGTCACCCTCACAGTGAAGAAGTTCTTCCTGACATGGAGATAGAACTTGCTGTGTTTCAAGCTGTACCCATTACTCCTTATCCTATCACACTGGCCACCACCGAGAAGAGCTTGGCCCCATCCCCCCTCCATTCTCCTGTAAGGTACATATTTATCCCTAAATACATATTGATCAGCTCTCCTCTCAGTCTTCTCTAGGCTAAACAGGCCTATCTTACTTAATCTTTCCTCATGTGATAGATGCTCCAGTCCCTTAATCATCTTCACGGCTCTATGCTGGACCCTCTCTAGAAGCTCCAAGTCCCTCTTCTCCTGGGGAGCCCAGAACTGCACCCAATACTCCAGATGCAGCCTCACCAGAGCCGAGTAGAGGGGGAGGATCCTCTCCCTTGATCTGCAGGCAACAATCTTCCTGATGCAGCCAGGATCCCATTGGCCTTCTTGACCATGAGGGCACACTGCTGACTCATGGTTAAGTTGTTGTCAACCAGGACGCCCAAATGCCTCTCTGCAGAGATGCTTTCCAGCAGGTCAACCCTGAATCTGTACTGGGGCCTGGGGTTATTCCTGCGGAGGTGCACTTGTCCTTGTTGAACCTCATGAGGTTCCTCTCTGTCCACCTCTCCAGCCCACCTAGGTCCCTCTGAATGGTAGCACAGACCTCTGCAGTGTCAGCCGCTCCACCCAGTTTCATATCGTCCGCAAAGTTGCACAGGGTGCACTCTGTGCCTTCATCCAAGATATTGATGAACAAGTTGAACAGCATCAGGCCCAGTACTGATCCCTGAGGGACACCACTGGCCACCAACTAGACGCAACCCCATTTGACAAGATCCTCTGAGCTCTGCCATCCATCCAGTTCTCAATCCAACTCGCTGCCCACTCATCCAACTCACACTTCCTGAGCTTCCCTATGAGGATGTTATGGGAGGCTGTGTCAAAAGCCTTGCTGATGTCAAGGTAGACAACATCCATAGCTCTCCCATCGTCCATCCAGCCAGACACCTCATCGTAGAAGGCTATCAGGTTCTTCAAACCTGACTTCCCCTTGGTGAATCCATGGTGACTAGTCTTGATCACCTTATTTTCCTTGACATGCCTAGAGATGGTCTCTAGGATGAGCTGCTCCATCATCTTTCCAGGGATGGAGGTGGAAACCTCACCAGCAGGTACACATGAGACTATTTTTTTATCAGAAAATGTTCCAATTAAAAATAACCATTCCTAATTTCACTAGGAAGTTTTCATTTTCAAATGTCATGGCTCCTGACTCACAGTTTGCTTGGGATTGTATTGGACTCACCTAAAGTCTAGGAGCCCAGAAACCACTTGTAAACACAGCTGAGAATCTCATCATAGCTGTGACTCACTGAAACGAAATTCACACTTTGCAGCAGCCCTGTGAAACATATTGCTATAGAAATCTGTGACACTCAGCAGTTTGGAAATCTTTTGCTGACAAAATCTGTGTGTACACTGAGAGTATCTTCTGAATACCAGAAGCAAAAGCACCAACGCCCTCAGCAAGAGGGAAACAGTGAAGTCAAACTAGATTGGAGGGATGGAAAGAAAATCATTCTGAATCATGCTGCACCCATGCAATTCCAACTGCTTCCTTCCCATCATGAAATGCTCTTTGTCACTGTAATAAACAGTGACATCTTTAACCCTTCCATTAAGGATACTTTACACACCAGTGTTTTCATTCCGGTGGGACAGCTGGGCAATAGAACTAACTAAATAAAAATGACCGTGTATAAAAAGCTTCTCCAAGAGCTAGTAGACTTGCATGGATTATTAGTATTTCTGTTGTTCTGAGCTGCTCATTAAGTTCTCTGAATTTTATTAGTTTTCTTAATTATGCATACAAAATAAGTTAATATACAAATTTATGAGAGATCAAATGGCTACATGGCAAAACTCTGCTAAATTTAGTTTCCTAGAGTAAGTGCATATGTGCAGTACTGCAGAAGACCGTACACAGGCTGCAAGATATTACAGTAAGACTCATTGATGAATCACCCTAAGAAATGTTAATAACAGATGAACTGTAATAAATGAGCAAAGGGAAATAGAGGAGTTAAGAATCCCATCTGAGCCATCCAGTAGCAGCAGCAATTGAAATATTTTAAGATTATGGTCAAAATAGGAGAGTTTGGAAAATCTGGTTCAAAATCAGGTAAATATCCTATTTTTGCACAGGACTAGTAGCAACATTTTTACCCTTTTTACTTTTTCCCTTTTTCTTTTTAACCCAGGACAATAATTAACATAAGAAGACCCTCGAGCATGCTTCTCTTCCAGGAGACACAATTATTTTGTGGAGTAATTTAAAAAAGAAGAGAGAATGCTGTTCTGCTGAAAGATACAAACCATGAGTGGCAGTTTTATGTACTTGTCGGGAGCTTGCCAAGATCTTCTGGGATTTCTAGGGTAAAGAGAGAGAAAGATCACTTGTCATCTAAATTGCCTGAGCTCCCTCAGAGCTGTTTTACCATTTGTGCCTCTAACACGGCACAGTAAAGACATTCATAGACCAAATAAGTGGATAAAACTAAATTTGAGAGCCTACATGCTTAAGATGAAAAAATGTTTTCCAATGCCCAGTCCAGCCAGGGTGCCAAGAATAGCCAGAGGAGAAAGCAGCATCGTAGAAGGGGCAGCATCGGCTTTCAAGCTCTACCATGCAGTCCTCTTAGAGCTGTGAGGAGGGACCAGCTCAGAGTGGATACGAGGAGTAGGAAACATGCAGCCCTTCCCAAAGAGCAACAAAACCTCCCCATGGCATTGTACAAGATATCTGAGATGCATAAAAGGAGTAAGCACAGAGAAGGAGCAGGTTAGTAACCATGAAAAGTGCCTGTGAAAACCACCTGGTTTTGTTAATATGGGGGCACATTCCCATTTAATGTCATAACGATTTTGACCACTTGAGGAACTGTTCCAATAGCAAAAGTAGCTCTTTAAAGCAAAAAGGGAAAGACCAGAGATGGAGAGATTTTGTACATGAAGTAGTATTTACCTGCAAAGTTAAGTAGACCATTCTGGTAGCTGCTAACATTGCTAAATCTCCAGCTCTGACCTGCTCTATTCGAGTGATGGGAGAGGTGTCTGTCTGCAAGGTGCTTCGGTGTCAGGCTTTATATATGCTTCTGGAAGGCAATTTGCTTTTTGTTTTGGTTTTCCTTCTTTTTTCTCTTTTTTTTTCAAATGAATTTCAAGTGTGATGACATCAGCCTCTGGGGACGGAGAGGGTGGGGGAAAGAGGTGAGGGGGGTGCGTTTTTTCTGGGCTGAACTGAAGGGAAACCCCTTTGGTTTCAGGAAATAGAAAAAGCTTTGGGACAATAACTGATGAGGTTCAGGGAACTTCTTGTTTCCAAAACGCCACAGGTGCCAATGGGTGAAGCAACTGGCCCTAGGCTCCTCCTACAGAGGAGGGCTATAAAAATGGTACTTACCAGGAAATGAGAGGGACAAGAGCATCCTCCCATTGAGCTGAAGTGTCACCAAAACAGGTAATCCAAGCTGCAGATAGGAGTGTTGTGTTTTTTAATTTGATGCTTCTTTTAAAAACCTTTGGTATTCTGGTATTTGGCTGAATCTTTTCCTGAGTCTCCGTCTTCTAAATCAGCAGTGCTGCAATGTTGCCTTCCATGTGCTGCAGCTTCACTGAAATATTAGTATGGACGCGAGATCTATGTCGTAGGTGCCAGGAGACACCAGGACCCTTCATTCATCCCTAGGTGAATGCCTGGACTTTGGGGAAATGCTTGGGTGGTCATTTAATATTATGCATATTATTGTGTACAAAATATCAGTTTAAATTGATGTATTCTGCAAACAGCCATATAGAAACAGCTTGGATTTTCTAGAAAATATTAGCCAGACTTTTGATCACGGTGAATGTAGCAATGCCTCTTAGACAACTTTGTGCTGATTTTCACCAGATGAGATCAGGAGTTGTGATATGTATTCCTGCCATGCAGAGTTGTGAAGTACTGCTAATCCTGCAGCACGCTTATCCAAAGGGGATTTCACTTCATTCTTTTGCATATTTATCTTGTGAGACACATTATTTTCTGAGAGCTATGTAAACATTCGTTATCATTAAGAGGGGATAGAAAACTAATAGCAAAATGTCACTGGGGATACATGTCCGCAAAAGAGAGATTTTGGGTAGTTATTTATAAATCCAATGGCCTTCTAAGTTTTGCTCCAGCCTCCCATGGAGACAACACCAGCATATTCCCATTGTCTTTGTTGATGCTATTAAACAGGGTAAAGAAACACAGGCAGTGGATGCTTGGGTTGAGCAGCCACACATGGTGATGTCTGCAGTGTTGTATCACAGTTTTCATTGAATTCACTGGAGTTGCCAAGAAATAAGAGGGCAATGTATGTGGGAGAGGGCTGCTCTGGAAGGGGGGAAGGGAAGTTACAGTGAGCAAGGGGGCGAGTAGAAGGCACTGAGATGCTCCAGCCAGGCTGGAGATGACCACATGGGTCTGGCTGAAAGGCCATGCCAACTGGAAGAGAGTCAAAGTAGCAGGAGGCTTGGGGTGTCCAGAAGCTCCAAGTGGTAAGTAGACAGAGGAGGTGCAAGGGTTCTTCATGGGTTTGTGCGCAGTAAGGATCAGCCTGGGCTGCCCGCTCTCGTTAACAGGACCAGCTCTCTCCTGTGGTTGTAAGGCCTGGCAGTGTCCCTGGCACTGGGGGCCTCTCCACCTTGGGAAGGCCTTGCAGTTTGCTGAACACCAGCTGTGCTGGTTGATGACCCCGCATAGTGCAAAGGAAGTCCTCATTTGCTCCTCAAGCTCTGCACTGTTCCGTACTGCCTACCTAATCTCCACATGTAAGTCTGCTTTGCAGACCTAGGCATACTGTGAGCAGAAAGTGCCTCGAGATGCCTCCATGCAGGATCTTGCTTCATTGCATCCTCGAGCAGCCTGGGTCATCACTGGTGCTGTTATCCCGGGGAGAATGTCAGGAGGGGATTTGTATCTGAAGTATTCTTATATTGCATGGAATAGAGAGGGGAGGCATGGGACTCCACCTCCCCAATGTTGAAATGGCCCTTTTGTACAACCCCAAGCCCTCTCCTTACAAGGGAAGGTCCTTCGTCTTCCTCCTTTCTCATACCTTGCTCTAAATCCTCTAGCTTCCTTTCCCTTTATACCTCCATATGGAACATTCCAGTGCCTTTTCCCCGCTTCTCAGGTGCCCTACAAAAAACTCTCCAAGCCTTCGTTGCAATCAGAGGGAAGCAGTCCTGTTAGTGTCCCTATGTCCCTCGCAAAACTAAACTGCCTGCCATAGGGTCAAAAACTGCTAGCATAGCTAGTCATGCAGGAGCTGCAAACCAAGGGAGTCTTGACAAATTTAAAATCACTTCTGCTAGCAGTCGTCTAGCCAGGCTGTCCTCCACCAGCAAACCCGTCTCATCCTTCTCCAGAGGAAGACTCAAAGCAGGTGCTCTGTTCAGCATGCCTAGAAAGTCACTGTAGGAGCTATTTCAAAGATGAACATCTGGAGGAACTTAATATTGTGGCCTTTATCCAAGTATAACCATTTCAGCTAAGCTGCTTATTTGTATCTGGATGCCATAAAAAGTGTCAACATCATGGGCTCCACAGATAGCTGCTCTGCTACTTCTAAGGATGCAATGCCTGATTTCATAGGGCCCTGTCGAGGTCAGCACTTCATAAGGTGCTTGACACTGAAGAGAGTGCTCTTCCTGCAGAGCTATGAGTTGGTAAAGCTCTTTCTGAACAGACACATCTCAGTTTTAGCACAGTTAAGTAATTGAATGAATTAGCTGATCCCTGGAGGTATGTTCAGTTTAAAACTGTTGTTCCAAAATTTAGTTTGTCGAATCAGTTCAGAGCTGTTAGGAGCCAGCATTGCCCTTTTACCCTCTGTCTTTGATTTCTGTGTAAATTTAGAAGAAACAGGTTTGAGGGAAAACAGATACGAGAAAAGAATGAAACAAAGGAATCCAGAGGCCATCAATGTTTGTTAAACATCATTTGTTTAACAATTGTTAACAATCCTGTTGTATGCCCAGGATTATAGTGTTTAATATTAGATGCTGGGGTTTAAGCTGAGTATTGGCTCGTCAACATGAGTAAAACTGCTCCCTGCCTGGTAGAAACAGTCACTGTCCCCTAGCTCTCCTTCCCTTCCCATATCAGTTGTAGCTCTATGTCCTTTCCTTACTCTCTGAAAGACTTTTTTTGAGGTGGCAGAGAACAAAATACATCACTTGGCTACTTTTCCAGCTCCTTTAGGTCATAAAATATTCTAAAAATAACAAAATAACAAGAACATTGCCATTTTATTTTTGTCTTTGTTTCCTAACAAAAACCTCCAGAGAGCAAACTCCAGCTCATGGTACCCAGGAGTGCGGAGGAATGGAAATGTGGGGGCTGCTTGCAAACAGACTCGTTAATGGTAGAAATATGAACGGTTTGAAAATAGATTATTTAGTCACTATAATTTCAAGAAAGGGATGGAGCTGGAAAATTCCATCTGGAAGGGAGACTGTGTATGTGAGTGCAATGCCTGCCTGTTTGTCTGTAATAGTGGATAAGAAATGTCCTGGAATAGCTCAAAATACCTTGTGGCTTTCATCTGAATGTTTGCTCATTTGTGTTAGACTATTCATTCCTCCCCATCTACAGCAGCCGGAGAAGAGGAGGCAGGAACCATCACCACCACCTGCAGCGCTTTGGGGCACCTAAACATGTTTTTGCCAGAAATCCATGTAGCCTAAATAGGTTGTGTGTGTTTTTTCTGGATAAGTCTCTGGAAAGTAGGCACCTAAATTCCTGCTTTGAATTGGGCCTTTGTTTAGAGCTATGAGCAGGGAGGCACTATGGAAATACCTGAGTCTGTCACCAATTTCTCCCCCTTGGAGCAGGGGCAAGGCTTTGAACACTGGCTGGGCGTCTGTGCCAAAGCAGCACCCGTCTAGACGGAGACACGAGGGGAGAGACAGTGAGGTTGTGGGTGACCACTGACACGGCTGTTTTGTCTGGAAGGGAGACGACCATGGCGAGCGCAGCAGGCTTTGCGGCCGTGTTTTACAGCGAGCCGTCAGTGCTGGGGCTCCTGGCAAACGTCGTCAGCGCCTTCCTCCTCTGCCTGCAGAACTTTGCCACGGCTCACAGCGGCATCAGGCCCACGGACGCAGAAGACATCCTCGCAGGTGAGGCATTGCCTTCCAAGGAGGGCATCTTGGTTGTTGGTTGGAGGCTCTAGGTAGTAGTATAAGACGCTAGGAAAAAGTTTTTACAGAGTCATCCCTGTGGGCCAATCCACAGAACCATTTTTCCAATGTACAGAAGCTAAATGTGATCCCCGGGATCCGTCCTTCCTTAGCGACTCTGCCATGAACCTGGTCCGAACCTTTCACGTACTTTCCCCCTTCCACTTATTTTCACAGATCTAAACCAGACTGGAGCTCTGTCAGATCCATTTGCTATACTGAGCATAAAGGTAGGAAGAGAGGGAAAGCCAGAGGGCATAGAGCCAGTGACCAGAAGGCTGTAGGACCCGTAGTGGGATGTCCTCCAGCGTTTGGAGACACAGATCTACTCCCTGCAACTCAGGCCTCTCTGCAGCTTGCTCCTCTCATGACACTGTGTTCCTGTGTCTCTCAGGTGTCCACCTCGTCTTGATTGGAGGCTTTGTCCAGCTCCTGGCAGGATTCCTTGCCTTCCGGAAGTATGATCACCTTGGAGGTGCAGCCTTTCTGACCTTTTCTGCTCTATGGAGTAGCTATGGGGCTACACGCATCATTTCAGCTGCATATCCCCCTTGGCAGAACTCAACTCTGGCCTCAGAGAATGCCAGTCACCTCCTGCCTGCTGCCATGGCCCACCCCTCTGTCAGTCAAAGTGCTGTGGCTGGGCTGGTGGCTTACATTTCCATCTCCTTCATCCTCTCCTTCTGCTCAGCCACAGTGAACTATATCATGCCCTTCATATTTGGGGCCATCGCTCTTGCCTTGGTGTTTGAAGCAGTTGCACTCTTTGGCCAG